CTGTCTATCTCATTGGGTGGGAGGGAGTCGTCCTCTCTTTTGCTCTCCCTCTGTGCCTGACGAAGGCATGATGCCCTTGTCCAGGGTCCGGCTTCTCCCCCTCGCGTGTCCAAAGTACCTGAGAGCAAGCTCGCCATCCTCCCCCCCAAAGGGACATTATGGCTGGCGGTGCTTCTCCCAAAACAGAGTTGTCTGTCTTTCTGGCAGTCCATGGTCCAAATGCCCCGATTACCCCCCAGTCTTTCTCCCCGTTCACCGGTCCCCTTTCACATGTGCAGGAGGTGATGGGCGAGGCCTTGGGGACGTCTTGGCTTGGTTCACACTTGGAAGAGGTCTCGTGCAGCCCATTTGCCCAATGCCATGTACTAGATCTCTTGACGGCCGCTGCCCTGGGCATTGATGGCGGATCCGAGCAAAGTGAAATCCTTCACCACTCCAGCCAGATGTGAGGGGCTTCGCTCCCTTCAGGGGGAGGTGTCATCCTTCCCGAAGGCTGTGGTCTTTGATTTTCACCAGGAAAGCCCTCGAGTCCTTGGCCTTTAGCAAGGAAAGGTGTGCGTCACCTGCAGCTCTTGGGTTACTCACGAGGCCCTGTCCAATCCTGAAGGAGCCCTGGTGGTGCTGGTGGGTAAGCTTTGGACTGCTAGCCAGAAGGTTGGCGGTTCAAGCCCACCAGCCTCTCCGAGGGAGAACGATGAAGCTGTCCGCTCCCGTCCAGATGGACAGCCTCAGCAGGCCTCCGGTGGGACCCCGTGAGTCAGAATCGACGTGATGGCAGATGGCCTGCTTCTTCTTAGTGGCCTCCCAGTCTGGATGCCATGTGCTTCTCCCTCAGGTCCAGCTCCTTGGATCGTCTGCTCAGCAAGCAGATCGAAGAAGCATGGGGAAGGGATGCAATCCTGGCCCACTGCCCTCCCAGTTCAAACCAGGCCCCAGAGCAAGCCTGGTTCTGTCTAGATGACTGCCTCCATGCCCACCCCCAAGAAAAGTGACCCAACGGCCACCATCGAACAGCACCATCCCTCTCACACGCGCCAGAGCGCCGTTTTGCTGACGCTGACTCCACAGTCGGGGCTGCCCATCGCTCGGCTCTGGGGCAGGCACCACCCTTAGTGCTTGGCTGATGTTTCTCCTGGGATTTGGGGGTGGGGCCTGGATGGCAAGTTCTTGATCCTGTGGGGTTTTGTGCAGATAACGGGTCTCTCTTTTTTTTTCATGGCTCATTACGATTTTAAAAAAAATTTATTTTGTTAACTGGTCTCTTAAGGGCGCGTTAGTGGATCAGTATGTGGCGAGAGCTAGGAGGTACCAAGGGGTGGTGGTGGTTATGTTGGATGTGGGCAGAAGGTGCCAGTCCTGGGCCTTTGGGTGGTAGGCACTTGGGCTTGGAGGATTGTGTGTCTGCCTGGAGGCTCTCTTGCCTGGGGCTTGAGGGGATGTGCCGTGCCGAACTATTATGCACAATGTCGATCATTGTTTCCCTCAAACTAAACTCACTGTCGTGGAATCGATTCTGACCCTACAGGACAGGGAGAAACTGCCCCTGTGGGTTTTCAAGACTGTAACTCTTTGTGGGAATGGAAAGTCTCATCTTTCCTCTGGGCAGCAGCTGGTTTCCAACTGCCGACCTTGCACTTGGCAAGCAACCCCACGCATAACGGGCTTACGCTGCCAGGGCTCCTAAGCTGTTCCCATAAGAAGGTCAGATCCAACTGGCCTTGGCCACCCCTGGGCAACATCGAGGATGTGGTTTAGGCTCCTTTCTCTTCTCTTGAAACCCTTTCTGGAACCTTCCGAGCTCCAAGATGGGGTGCGGTGCTCCGGGTGCCTTGTGTAGTAGGCGAGCTCCTGCCTCCCCAGGGCAGGTGGTCGTCCGAAAGGGACCGTGCTGGCTTGCTGGGTGAGAGGCGGAGGCCCACCGGACCTCGGTCAGTTGGGCGGGGCCTTCAGGAGCTCCGCCCACCCCGCCCCGCCCCGCCTCCTCCCTCCG